GGAACTTCTGACGTTGTCCTCAGCTGTCCCATCGCCACCCAATTCACATTTGATTTCTGAACACTTAACTGCAGCTACCAAGGTTTCCTTATAAAGCCTGCCAAACTGGCACTCAAGTCACTAACCGCCTCACTTATCCTATGTAATTTCCAGTGCAGCACAAAGGAGAACGGGAAGCTCTTGTTTTCTATACGTAGGCACCATGCTACACTTCATCGTCCTATAAAACATCACCCGAAAGCTCTCTCCTACGCCACACTTCAGTCAGTGCTAGTCGAGGAAGACTACAACTAGAGTTTAAGGCACTTCATTCTGAACGAGATCCGCCTGCCTGCCGCTTGCGAGTCAGCTGTAGGCTGCTATTGAGAAATCCATTCAATCCGTCTAGCCCGTACCACCACAGGTCACCTCTGTAAAACACCTAGGCTTGATATAATACAAGTATAACTACCGTTATTGCATAGGACTACACTTGAGTAGATAATGCACCCAACTACTTTTACAACATCGTTGCATGTTAAAAATTAATAACATTGTTATCAAGTAACAGTTATTTGCAGATACAGTAATTTACTCTTTTTTTGTTTGTTTGTTTGTTTTTTCTTAAGTCAGCCCCAGTGCTGAAATAAAACACAAATTACTATAACGGGTATATTAACTACATAGTTACGTTTCCAAGCATATTACTACCTTTTTCTGTATCGCTAAAAATAAATATATAAGTTCAGTTTCTCTACAGAGTTGTTTTATTACCTAGTCTAAATTTGTCCTCTACCTTAAATGTGTTTAAAAACATTTTCAAAGTGAGACTGTAATATACAAAATATTCTCAAAATCTCTCTTAAAACACAGAACCCTGCATAAAAGCTTCCTTTCAAGTGTTTACAAAGAACGCAGAAAACTTCCAATGAGTTTTAAAAATGTCAAAAAATTGTTGCAATATTAAGAGGCAAAAATCTTACAAATGAAATACAAATATATTTAAAACAAAAAGTTGATGATAACTAAGGATCCATGCAAATCAAAATATACTGTACAATGCAATTTTTTTTAAAAAAAAATAAAGCCAATTAGATATGTACAACATAATGTGCCCAGCTGATAAAATGTATCGATTTATTTTTGTCCAAAGAGTGTATACCAACTTACAGTGCTCCTGCTTGTTTACTGTTGGCAAGCCATCAACGCGTGTTACAAAACAAAAGGAAAATCTCAGAGAAAAAACTCGAACCATGATCAAAAGGAAAACCCAAATCAGCTCAGAGTAAAATTAAACGGGCACTCTGAGAAAGAGACTCGCATCTCCCTGCAATTTTCAGCAACGGCATTTTATATCACAATCAACACAATCAGGATGTCTTAACACTTCGTCGTCGTTTGTATTCTGAGTGGAGTAGGGTGGGTGGTTTTCCCCAAACACTTGTCTTGCAAAGACTGAGGTTTGAGGGACACTGTATCTTTAAGGCAGCACTATTCAATTAATACAATTACAAATTGGACTTCTTTTTTCCCCCCTGTTGTTTCTTTACATTCTTTAACTTTACATTTTGTTTCCAAGTAAATAGGTAGCATTTACAATTCTGTGATTTTCCCCCCCACCCCCAGCAGAAACAGACTCTTCATTTGTAATTCTATTGCTTTGAGTAGATTTGACCAGTTCAAAGTTCTTGGCGAATCCAGTTCACAGATACTGTACATATGCTGTACAATATTTTGGAGGCATTGGTAGTTTTAAAATAGAATATACAAGTTTCTTCACAAAAATTCTAAAAAAAATCCTATATATATAATATATACACACACGCACACACACTGGGCTACTGATGAAGCACAAGGAGAAAAAAAATCAAAAAAATTCTACAAAAGGTAAATTATTTAATCTACTGATCAAGAAACAAAGCAGTTTATGAAAGGTGTGCCAAGTATATGCTAACAAGCATGATCGGTGTCCTCCATGCTCACGCTGCTCCGCCTGCTACTCGTCTTCGACGCTCCAGGAGACACAGAGGAAAGTAGCGGGTCAGTTACTCCGACAGGGGAGAGGGTATCGTCCATCAAGATATCTTCCAGTTTGGATCCCATTTTTGGAGGAACGCTGTAAGTGCCAGTTGGTTCAGTCACATTTCCGAGGTTGTCGCTGAAGGTGATGGTACCGTCAGTGAGATCGAGGGTGGTAGTGCAAGACAGGTCTGTGTGGTGCGGCATGATGTCTTGGTTGCAGTTGTCCAGCACAGGCTCCTGTTTGATGACCCTGTTGACCATATCAGGGGAGCAAAGGCCTGTAGACGGAACAAGGGACAGTCCATGCGCCCGAGCTTGCATCTCAAGTTCCTGTAAAGGAGGATAAGGAACAAATTAAAAAAAGACCCAAAAGCAAAAATCTGTCAGGCTCATGTGTACTGTGACATACAGTTTCCTTCTGTTGGACACAAACCGTTTCCCCCCTTTCCAGCAGCAGCAAGTGCTCGCACCTTGGATGCTTCTGCCCTGCAGATTTTCACCTGAACATTAGTCTCTTGAACACCACCCCACACAGGTCCTTCACACTTCTTAGAACCCACAGCAGAGCCCAAACCCAGCGCCCTGCAGAACAGACATGGTCCCCCTCGGGCTCCTTCTCAAACCAGTGCCACGGTAGGCAAGTTTGGCATCAGGTGAGGTGGGGAAAGCATTTAAAATTTAGAAATCTGGACTTTTTACAAGGGCATGTAGTAATAGGACAAGGGGTAATGGCTTTAAATTGGAAAAGGGGAGATTTAGATTAGATATTAGGAAGAAATTTTTCCCTGTGAGGGTGGTGAGCCCCTGGCGCAGGTTGCCCCGAGAAGCTGTGGCTGCCCCATCCCTGGAGGTGTTCAAGGCCAGGTTGGACGGGGCTTGGAGCAACCTGGGCTGGTGGGAGGTGTCCCTGCCCATGGCAGGGGGGTGGAACTAGATGATCTTGAAGGTCCCTTCCAACCTAAACTGTTCTATGATCCTATGAAAAAAAAAAAGTGAAATAGCACAAGCATACGCTTAGTACTTTTTGAAAAGTCATATGTGAAGGCATAGCTTGTCTAACACAGGAAGGTTTTAGACTTCACACAGCCAGGATTCTTCAAGTCTTAATGAAAAGTTTAAATCCCACCTTCACATTTAATCGTACAGACGCACTTGACTGAAGACAGATAATAGAAGAATTCACTTATATGCCCTTTTTCAAATGCAGCAGTAAGAGAGATGTTTTGCTTCTACTTATGCATTAATTAGGCAATCACAATCACTGTTGTCATTGTACTGTTTTCTGGATATTCCTCTGACTGAGGCTGATTAATAGCCTTTTCTCTATTTTCAAGTTAAGACAACAAGCTTCTAATGGCATGCTGCAGGATCAATGGAGAAGGTGGAAGAAGGGAGCACATCTCCCATCAGCTAACATGCAAAAATCAGGAGTTCCTTATTCTGTGCTTAATCAGAATCAACACAAAAAGGAAAAATACAGACTCTAGGTTATTTGCTGCCAGATGTATTGCCCATTATTCAAGGGTCTGGTTTTTATGTTTATTTGATTGAAGAAGTAGCCAGAGCAGATGGATAATGCAAAGGAAGATAAAAGATGCTTAAAAAGCAATCTGACTTAGCTTTGAAATGCCACTGCTTGATGTTGCTCTGCAGACTGGTTATGCCTCTCTATCGTCTCACTCTAGCAAACAGATTGCTCAAAGTACAAAAACTGCGCTGAAGCTCATCCCAGTCTGTTCTATTTTAAAGCTGTTTACTGCCACACTTGACTCTCAGGTATTTCTAGCTTGATTAGCTACTTTGTGGGTTAGCCGTGCTGCGGTTCAGGGGTCTCCCGAGAAGGCAGCCAGCCTGGCACGCTGCAGCCTGCACGCAGAGTTCAGCTGTTCGCACTGCAGGTGAGCAGCAACGTGAGAGTATCCGGGACATCACCGTCTCCGTGTTACGTGGTCTTACACCCAATTCTAGATATACTTCTTTAATTACCCCTTTATGGGGAAGGGTGTATATCCAGCTATCTTTGCCCACCTGGAGAACAGAGCTGATGACAAAAGCTGTGTAGGCTGCAAGGGTAAGGTTTCCTATCCAGCTTGAGGTGAAGGCAAAGGAATTCATTGGAGAAATGGAGTTCTTACCCCTAAATCTCTCTAATACAGGCTATTGGGAGCCTGGGTGAATCTAACAAGGCAATAACTCATGGAGAAACCATATTCATGCCACCTACTGCTTCTCAGTGTTGAGGAGAACTGATCTACAGTCCTACAGACTTCAAGGAACAAGGACGAAAACCAACCACAGCTCCTCGAGGAAAAAAAAAAAAAAGCAGCTCGACATTCATAGCTCTTGACTGTCTTGAGACAAAAACTCTTGGAACCCTCACATTAGGTGTGCTTCTCTGCAACTGCTCTCAGACAAGGCAGGGCAGCCTCAACATTAAATACAGCTGCCAGTCCCCACGATATCTATGGGAAACTCAAGATACAGTGCTGCAGTGTCTGTCACCAATACTGCCCTCCCCGCACATTTTGTCCTGTGAGCAGTGTCCACCCTCCACTGGAAAGCAGATGACAGATTCCTGCCGAGCATCAGGGAGAGGATGATCGAGAGAAGCAATAAGAGATCAGTTGTAGATGACTGCAATCTGCAGAGCTTCTCTGACAGAGAGGGCCTAGATTGGTCCCCACACAGTTGAGAAAACCCACAAGCAACACAAAAAAACTTAAATGATTGCCATTCATCCAAAACTGCTTCAGAAGAAAAGCAGCACTAAAGCTACAGGTCAAAAAAAATTCCCCAAACAGGACAGCTAAAGTGAACATACTCCTAAACAGCTGAACTGAATTTCATCACTGTCAATGAACAGATGACATATGACGTCCCAATTCCTTAGATGTGGCACCCAGAAAAAAATACTACCATATAAATCTTTTAGATAGTATGGTCTGCAACTTCTGAAGGCCAGAGTAGAACAGACCGGCCATAAGTGCTTTAGTAGAGCGATGGGATTTTATTTTTTTTTAAACTAACATATCCTGCTTTTTTTCCTGGAAAAATCTCTGCAGACATCTCAGCATTGGTCACCGTTAATTAAAACGGAGGTTCCTTCTAACCCACATTCCTACAAACAAGCTTCTGCTACCATCATTTGCAGTCAGACACTGTGACATCAAGAGCATTTGCAGCTTATTTATCAGCAAACCTGTATTCTGAGCAGCAGGTGCCTGTTGGCATGTTCCAACTTCTTCTGTCTGTTCTCCAGCTCCTTCGTGCGTTGCTGTTCTCTTTGCAGCTTACGGATGTAGTCGACTGATGCTTTTAGAATAGTTCCCTTATTCCAGCGCATATCCCTTTGAAATCAATATAAAAGGAAGAGTTAAGGCTCTCAGGGAGGCTTTATTTTATAGTCATTACCTTCACACCAGCAGCTATGATTACACCTCATATATATGTAACACCTGGCTAATATTTATTCCAAGTTTATGAATACAGAAGGCATTTGATATGCACTAGAGGGGGCCAGAGTGCAGCTAGTAGGAAGGCGACTGCAGCCAGCCCCAGCCTCTCTGAAGAGCAGCTATGAGTTGCTCCACGAAAAACCACCTTAAAATAATGGAAACTCTCCCCAAAAGTGTCACGGGGCACTGATCCAGATTTAAGGGAGACTTTCAAGCTCCAGAGCAAGGGGGTGTTCCTTGTTATTGAATCAGTGTTGGGTAAAGTTAAGACAAGTTAATAACAGTAAAATTACCTAAAAGAACTACTGGGAAACTACCACAAACGCTGGCAAATGATCAGCGAACAGATACACAGATAGGCTCTTTATTTTTCTTTTTTCTTGGAGGGAAGGGGAATATGATGGTTTCCCAGAGGAACTGCCCTCCGTTTTCATAGAAAGAGGGATTGGTTCTGTCTTGCTGAGCTATGACATCTAATAAATTAAAAGAATTTAGTAAGACAAACAGCGAGACGAGACTAAAGTTTCACATCCTGACACCTCTACCTCTGGTAAGGCAGTCATTCCTAGCAGCAACCCCAGCCCTGCCGAAGCACGGCGTCCTGCTGGATGCTGAGCTGCTGCACGATGGCAAGGTGACCGTTTTGTGACAAAAATCATCAAAATTAACATAAACTTAAGCAAGTTCCAAAAGGGAAAAAATAAACCCCAAAACAATCTCCAAAAAATATAATGGAATCTTCACGCGTTTCTACAGTCATGGAGTGCTGAGATCATACAAGAAAACTGAGGACTTTTTCTCCCTTAAGATATTTTTTTTCCTTTTAACACCTCCCTCCCACAGCCTCCTTGGGCACATTATACTTACGGGTCATTTGACTTGGGTATCAAAGTGCCTAGTTCTTTTATACGATCATTAATATTAAATCTTCTTCTTCGTTCAACTTGAGGAAAAACAGCACAAATGTTACAAGCAATATTCACACTTAATTACAACATATAAAGCGTTTCATCAAAGATTTCTTTAAGGGCCTTTGAAATGTCCGCCTGAAGCTTAAAATGCAGTGACAAGAGTCATTTATTTTGCTCTCCTACACATGGACACACTAAGACAGAAGTTCTGTCTATACGGTAAGAAGGTCGGAGTGCTGAAGTGGCAGAGCTAAACCGAGACTCTAAAAACCAGGATGGCTGTGTTAGCACAGGACTCTACTGAGAAGCGAATGTTTTCCTTGGGAAAAGCACCACAGAAACTCAGAGACAAAAAACTTAGATGCTCAAGGAAATCCCAAAGCAGGAAAGGGGACAAACCGTATAGTCTCTTTTTTAAAGGGCTCTTCCAGATGGAACATTTTGAGGATCCAAAAATCAAGCTTAAATACCAGTTTTCCTGCATTAGCTTTTCACGCTATGGAAAAGGGTTCTGAATAGCTCAAGGCATGAAACAGTTCCTTTTTTCCAGTAATACGAAGTATAAAAGGACAACTTAAGATCCTTTAAGTCATAAGATGCGCATTATTTTAAAATGGTTTTTTCCAACATGGAAACGTGTTCCCTTCAAAAATGGAATTCATAAAATTGCCACACTGAGGATATGCACTGATGTTTAAAATCACTAATTGACCACATATTTAAGATTTTAGATTAATAAAAAAAAAAAAAAAAAGGCAAAATTGTGCAAGGTGGATTTGTTAAAAGCAACTGGACCAAATGCTGTTGCCAGTAATTCCATTCACAACAACCACCCGGTCACTTGGCTTATTGAAAAAAATAACAATAGAGTTTAAAATTCAATAGCAGATTTCAGCACATATTTCACAAGAATTCGAGATATTTGATCTACGGGCATAACATAATGAACTGGTACTAAACACTACATGCAGTGTTTCAGTCAGATTTCAAACAGCAGCCTTCGAACCCTTAACATCTAAAATCAATACTAGAACTGGTGCAAAATGCAAAGAACCAAAACTTACTCAAGTTGTGATTGTCTTTCTTTTGCCTCTCCTTAGCCAACGCTCTCGCTTCTGACTCTGTAGGAAAAATACATGCTGTGCATGTGAATGAAGTAATTAGAATTAAAGTAATTCAAACACAACGTTTCAGTCTGCGAAACATTTGCGCAGGAAGCCGGATCGATATTTGTCAAACCAATTACGACACCCGTTCCAGCGAGCGCGAAGGGCCTGTACGGTAAGCTGTGATTGCCAAAGCACAACGCTGGTGTTGAACTTCACCCCGGCACCCGCGGAGCATCTCTTCCCACACTGACTTCCGTGACGAGAACGTTTCCCACGGAGGCCCTGATTCAGCAAGGTATTTGAGGACAACAAACTGCTGAAATCCAACATACCTTCTCCTACGTTTACATGCAGGCGGCACGCTTACGCACCGCACACAGACGCTGGACCAGCGGAACAGCATGCTTCGTGCATTGCTACCTGCGCAGGATGTGAAGCAGCCGGGAGTCAGAGGCTCTACTCACCGGAATTAAGGCTACGTCCTTTTGTGGCACGTGCACGCACATCACCACAACACTCAAGGTACAACTTAAGTGACCTATTAAAAATACTGTATTTCCCAGCTACGCTAACTGTTCTCATTATATGGAAAAAAAAAAAAAAAAAAAGATGAAAAATTCAACACTTTAATAAGCAATATTGTTAGAAAATGATGGTCCTTGCTTCAGGAAAAGCAAAAAGAAAAATAATGACAACTATGCTGCACATCAAGTTAGTTGTTTCCTCAACTCAGAACTGTTCTTACCCTTGCTCCACACATTTATTACTGGACTTCAGCATGTAACAGTTCAGGCAAAAACATAACTAAATTTGTTATTTTCAGTTCTCATTTGATCTTACATTTCTCAAGCAATTTTAATTATTTTTTTGTTTGCTCTATCCCTTTTAGTTTTTAAAAAGAATGAGGTCTTTAATCCTTGACCTGTTGCATTTAAATCTCAAAACCAGCAAGCATTATTTAATTTTGCAGTGAGTCAGTGAGGACAAGTGAACATGTGATCTATTATCACACAGACCATTATGGAAACAAACCCCCCTCGCTCATTCCAACAAGTTTCTTTCCTGTATTATTTCATTTTTATGGAATATGGATTATGTCCCACCCAATTCAAAACAGCAGGTGATACGGGTTTCCTTTGGAGTACTGGAAGCTGACCACCACTCAGAACACAGAGCTACGCCAGTATTACATGCAGTGTAACAAGACATCTTCTATGCCAGGATCCCAAAGGATCCCCAAAAAAAGCTTGAAAGAACATTGCATATCTCGATGAAATTTGGGCTTAATCCAACATTGCCTTACAAAACAGATATGAGGTTTGTAAGGCCAAAACCTATGGAAACTGCTCTCCCGGGTAAGCAGGATTCCCATTAAATGCTTCAGTAACTACAGCTGAGAACTCACAACCATCATCAACATCAGATGCTTGGGTAATAGATTTGACTTTTCCTGGTTCTTCTTAATTTTTATATTTATACAGTAGGATGGAGAAAGGTTTCTGACAAATGCTAGATTTAAGTATTGCAAGCTCTCTCCAATCTAGTTCCAACAACAAAATCAGGAAATAGAGAACCAAAAGACTCCTACCCGTAATAACATGCTGATTTTAAAATCACCGGCTGTCAGAAAGGACCAGCAATAGTGCTTTCTACACAAAGCCTTGGCCGGATCAGTGTCAAAATGACTGCTGTTAAATATGAGTTTAATTCCTAAACCTCTCCTAAATTAACTGCAATCTACTAGCGTATATTTTGAACAGAGAAAGCACTCAACTAAATTGTTTCTGTGTCCAGGTGAATGTAGCGTGCAGACATTTAACTTGGTTCAGATCTATTCTGATGTACTGAGGACTTCCACATAAGATCATTTCACTCACTGATTTCCCCTTTTTTTCTGCCTTCTTTGCCTAAAGTCTTACAACCCTCTGCAGTGAATCCATCAGCCTGGACATCTGACAATTTGGATGTTTAGTTTGCAGCTTCCAGCCACATTTAACTTTTATAACTGGGGCACCGAAACTGCCTGTAATGCAGGACTTTGAGCAGTCCTCATCCCCTCCCACAGCTCCATCACTGTACAAGCTTTTCTTTTTCTAGCAGCCACAAATCATTGTGCAGTTTCTGTGTCTTCATTTGGTGCTGAACTTAAATTTTGTGCAGTCATATAAATGCAAATATCTGCCAGCTCAGAGACGTGGCATTTCCTCCTGAGAAGCTGACTCCTGGGCTATTAAAACTGCTCTACTTAAACTAATTCCTGCCCAGAACCTGCTTTGCAACTGAGTCAGCCTCTGAGTTTCCACAACAGAAACCCAGAAAGACACCATGTCCCTACCATACTGCATACACTATGACTCTCTGTTGGGCTTAAGAACAGCCATTTCTGGGTATTAAGATGATTTTGTCACTGGTTCTAGAACGGTTCTCCACTTGTTCCCCCTGCGGTCAAGCTTGCCTTGCATACTGTATCCTACATGTGGTTGTATCCTTTCAAGTGAAGCAGAACAGTAAAAATGAAACATGCTTGAGAATACAAAACTTTTATTTCTTCCTTCAAATTATTTAGCTTCTGCACATATGTGCTTGAAAGAGAGAGGCTTTTAATGTCCCCCCCCTTCCCTCCCCCTGCCTCCCACGGCTTATTCAGAGCACTGCTGGAAGAACAGACATGACAAGAAATTTACAGGATACTTCATTTTCATCTTAATTGAAGAGATGCATATTCTCTCTTAAGTGCCTAATTAGACATTTTATAGGATCTAGGTGCCCTGACTTCACATCACAACAGGCTATTCGTCCGTTACTGCCCTCCTCTACTGGAGTAAAGCCTCAACACGTAGCATTCCTCAACATGAATCCTGCAGACTCCAGATGCGAGCTTATTAAAGTTCAGTGTTGACAGAGCAAATAAGCCCAAACTAGAAAACAGCTCTGCAAGAGGTGCACAGAAGCTTCCTGTGACATAATGTTTTCAACGTGCAGATTCCACTATAACGACTAGGGACTTGATCTTAATTTGTCACAGTGAACACACACATGTCCACACATGAACACAATGGCATTGCAGGCTAAGACATCTGCCAAAAAAAGTGGTCTGCAAAGCAAAAAGTAATCCATACGCTCTTTCTAATAACAGAAATTATGTCCAATATCACCTGAATTCAAAACAATTATACTATTGCTCCAAGGTGGTATTATAGACATATTTACCTGTGAGCTCCCTTTTTATATTAGGAAGATTAGCTGGACATGAGTTGCTGATGTTTAGTCCTGGAGGAGGCATGCTTTGGTTGCCATAAAGGTCAATCAAATTGCCAGACACAGGCAACTGGAAAAGATAAAAAAGGAAAAGGATCATTTGTTTTGCCCTTATGAAAGGCTTGGTACAGAAGAACAGAGTTAGGATCTGCTAAGAAATCTGTGCTCTTTTCCATGTGCAAAGAGAGTGTGCAATAAGGTCAGCAGATGTCAGCAGATGTCACAGATAGGCACAGGTCCGAGGAATAAAACACCTACATTGGGAAAATTCTGTCTTTTCAAGAATTTGCAGAAGAGGTAACATGATGACAATATTGCTGTAGTGTTGCTCCTTACTTGTCAGTGAAACTGTTACGTGTGTACCCCCATCACTTCTCTTATTCGAAGTATCTGAAATAGCCTACAGAACGCTCCTGGAGGAAGCCCTCATTTTTCCAGGAATATGTGAGTGAAAGTACTTAGCAGCTTGTCACATGCTTGACGGAGAACACTGTATTAATCAATCCCAGTTTTCATGTGATTTGAAAGCTACCTACACAGAAAACTTTTAAGTTTACTTTAAACTTATGCAACAAGAACACACAGCAGTAGGAGGAGGATTATTTTGACATTAAGTTTCCTCAATTACTTGTTCATTCTGCTATTCTTATTTAGGTACGTTTAAGCAAGGAGATATACCCAGAAGCAGTACGGTATTCCAAGACGACTTATCAAAGTTATCTCTTTAAATTGAAACGTATTTAAAGAAGTTTTTCCTGAGTGGATTATTTTACCCATCTCTTTTTTGTTTCCAAACTAGATTTTGAAAAGACAGGTGTCTTTTCAGGTGACACTTCGATATCTTATCTGAGTAGCAATACTTCTTATCTTCCTTGCTGCAAAGAAAACCAATCCCTCCAAGACACTGATCCTGCAGAGATTAGAGTATTAACTTTACACCCATGTAAATAATGCTGTTGAATACAATGGAGTGAGTCACAGCCTGGACTATTAAAACTCCTACTGATGGTCCTTGCCAGACTGAGACCTAAGAAAATTTCTCTGCCATCTGGAGCTACTGTAAGAAGCAAAAGTTGATGCGCATCCCTTAATGTACCACCAGCCAGAAGCCATGCTGATACCGGTCCTGAACAGTGGCCAACAACAAAAATTAAGTCCCCTAACTCAATCTTTAAGTGATAGAGGAAAAATGTAACTGATTTCTCACCAAGATCCAGCTTTGCCTTCCTCTTAGCTCTTGAATGCAATAAAAAAACCCAGAACCCAAAAAACCATCCAAACAACAAACAGAACACCCCAAGAAAAAAAAAAAGGAACATCTAGAATAAATCTAAGGTCACAGCTGTCCGGCACAGACTATGGTGCAAGTTGTGACGTTATCCACATTAATGTCAGGGTGACCACTCCCTCTCTCACTGCTCTACAAGGCCGACCCTTGTATCTTTTGGCCCCTCAAATGCATCCATGACAGAGGCACAGCAATAGCGTCACACACCCTTCTGACTTGGATGCGCTTTTTCTATTCATGCTCCTGAGCACGGAGAGAGCACAAAGAACTTGTTTGTAGCCCAGGGACTTGAAGTTCAGAACCAGACATGTGAAATCTAATTAGGAATTTCAGGGAATAAAGAAAAAGAAAATCTATTTCCCCTCCCTCCCCAAGAAATCTAGACTCTAGCGTCTGGAAGCCTGGGTAAAGCAACTAAGTTATAATTAAAGATGGAGAATAGTCGAGGTCACCAAGCTGCTTTACTTACTGCAAGATGGACCCTCCTTGTTATAACAGGTTTGTGATTTTAATTACATTTTTTTTCCTCCCAAAGGTGTCAACACTGTGCCGGATTTCCGTGCAAATAAACAGGGCCTGTGCCAGCAAACACCACAAAAAGGGAATGTAAGGTGGGCAGCAGCTGCTGACGTGCATGCTGAAGTCCTGCAGAAACTGCAATCCAGAGGAACCATACCCAGAGCCGTGCAACAACCAAAGCACAAGCACTGCTGCTGCAGTCTTTGCTAAGTAAAGGAAGATGAATGGAGACATTTGCACAGCTGAAAAACCAGGTTTGCGTGTACACATGAACGCTTATCAAGGAAATACACAGTAGAGGTAGGTGCCAACAATCTCAGTGTAAAGCAGTGACCCATAAGCAGAGAGACAGACTGGCTTGCTTTCTGTGACTACTTTTCTCAGCAAGCTGAAGTCCACAGCTCAAAGCTTCAGTTCTAACTGTGTGACTACATAAATGGTCCACGCTCAGTATGAGCCTCTGAGAGGCCTCTTCTCTCGCGTGGCTGCAAGTCACATCTTTGGGACTAACTTTATACAACCCCTTTCACCTGAAAAATTTAAAGTGTACGCAACACTTCAGCTCATCTCACATGGCTAAAATACTTGCAGTTAGAGATGAGTTAAAACTGAGGCACGTCCTCATTCCCAATTCTACTCCAGGTCCCAGAGGAATAAGAATTAGTTGACTTGTAAGGTAAGACCAATAGTTATTAGTGCAGAGTTCAGGGAACTGCAAAGGGGAGAGGACCCCTATGCTGGGGGCATTGATTTGAGACTGAGAAGTCAGCAGCGCTGTGAGCATACAAAAGCAGTCACTAGGCTGAAATGGGGCAAAAAAAAAACAAACCCACAACCAACAAAACGACACACCAAACAGAAGAGGCTTATAGTGGGCACAATGCAGCAACACCTGGCATTTATTTCAAATGCCTCCTATTGGAATAAACTGGAAGAAATTAAACATTGTTTGGAAACATTTCGGCTCTAATATACTAAGACAGTCACACAATTGTTATAGTTGGAAGAGACCAAGATTATCAAGTCCAACAGCTAACCTAACACTGTCAAGTTACCACTAAACCATGTCCCTCACCACTACATCTACACATCTTTTCAATACCTCCAGGGATGGCAACTCAACCACTCCCCTGTTCATTCCCTTCCCCAAGTACAAAGCAATGGGAAAGCGTTCAGAACTCCCACAGCCATTTCATTGGGAAGATACAAGTCTCAAAACTGAGAAAGACATGGAATTTGATGGGTTTTTTTCTGGTGCTAAGGAGGCTCCTTCCCTGCCTTCACCAAACTTTAGCGTCTTTCAAACTTAAATATGCTTCCCTTAAGGCTTCGTTAGCCACTTCTGGCTAAGAAGAAATTTAAATAAAGCATCATTCATATCATCCAACCTTTACTCTCCCAAAAAGTATACGAAGGAAGAGTGGCTTACGCCAGGCTTAGCTTGTTATCTGCATTGAAACAGCACGGTCTAGAAAGCCTTCCTTTGTGAGATTTCATATTTCTAGGCCGTAGCTTCACAAGGTGCACAAGCAAATTACTGCTTTTATATAACAGAAATTTCAAATATGGTAATTATTACTGCAGACTCATCAACGCGTACATTCAGAGGAGTCTGCAGCTTTCCTTTCTCCTCCACTACTCCAACAAAACAAGCACCCACATTCAGGTCATTCAGGCTCTATACAAATCATTTAGACATCAGCTGTGTGATCAACAGGGCTGTCCTAAGTATCAGTGCACACCGGAGGGATTCTGTTCCCCGGCTCGTGCAGCCTACAGTGTATTGTGGTGTCCCCTTACCTACAAGCACACACTCAGCGACAGTCCCTGAAATGAGACTCCTCTCTACTCCTGGAGTTTGAGTTCCACAGGAAAGTCACATTTAGAAGTGGAGCTGCACGTACTCACACAGCTTTCCATGTCTGACTCTTGCTAGAAATTGTTTATTTAGATGAATTAGTTGTCATCTCAACTTGGCATAGAGGAGTACTTTACATAGTACTGAGCAATTCAATTAACTAGGTCATATCTACACAGAAAACCCTCTCGGCAAACTAGTGACCATTTTGTGATACCTTTCACCACAGAAGCAAAGCCAGTTGACTTGTGACCCAATACCAAAGTTTACAAACACTTCCACAAGCAGTTGATTGCAATGAGCCCTTTTCAATTAAGAGGTAGCAGGAAAGTTCCCTTAGCTTGCTCTACACAGAAATCTCTGATTTTGCCTATCAATTAAGTACTGTTACCAAATGTAAAAAACTGATCCTTTTGTTCTTTGTTGGTTATGGAACAATAGCAGCCTTTGTCATGGTCTCAGCACAGCTATTTATAGGTTGTGTCTCTTTAGAGACCATTTCCTCTCTTGATTTCTTCCACCTCTACTTAGCTCAGTCTACAGACATTAATTCCTTATTAGTAAAATGCTGAGTGTTTTAAGAGCTAAATCCTGTTCTAAAAGAAAAGTGTCTGTTACATCAGGCTCATTTTTTCCCCAAACCCAATTTTTGGGAAACATGGTACAATTTCCATCTCTTCAGGATTGGTATCAGGTTGATTCAGAGACTGAAATATGATTTTTGCCTCCAGCAATTGAAATGTATTAGTAACAAATCCTTATTTCTACTATTTCATACTCTTATTTTACAGACTTCACCACATAGAGTGGGCAATTTCTGAAATTTCAGAGCAAATGTGGATCAGACAGTCCTTACAAGGCTTTGTTGTCACACAGCAAGCGAGAGGGATGCAGACTACCCTAAATATTGATTACATGGACTCCTTGCACCAAAAGAACGCAGAGCACCATTATGTGCTTGCCTGGAAGCAAAGAGCCACTGCTGGGGTCTCTGTGAAACAAGGAAGAAAAGCACAAGGAAATCCAAGTCCCCTCTAATTTAATGGGTCCCAATCCAACAGAACTTCAGAGAAAGGACTCCAGAAGAACCTGAACCCTCAATAAAATAAACAAACAAACAAAAAAAAGAGTAACCATCTTGAAACTATCTTTTCATGGGTTTTTAAGTTTTCCTCCTAAACTCCAGGACAGATGGACTTTTCAAGTCATCTTAGATTAAAGAAAAATTCATTCTTTCCAGTAGGACTCTGCAATTATTTCTCCGTCTACTCAAAGGACACTATTTAGGCAAGGGATGCTGATGGGCTGTTTCCTGCAGCACAGACCACATCTCGAGAGGGCTGTGGGAACCTGTGGGAGCGCAGGACTAGGTTAACATGACATCAGACCAGTACTGTCAGCAAATGTAAACCTATGCTACAAAATTGATGCTATGTGGTAAGCTGTAAATTTTGGCACTAGATAAAAAAGAAACAGACGCCAGCCCTGGCAGACATCTACTCAGCCAGATCTAACAGCACTTAAGCCTAAGGCAAAAAATTCACTGGAGCTGCCCTCCACTAAAGATCAAAATAAGATTATGCGACGATTATATTAATGCTCGCAGCAATGTGAACCAGCAAACAGAAAGAGCAACTCGGAGGTAACCTGTGCCTTCCCTCACTTTCACACCTCTGTGTTCTCATCTTTTGTCACAGCCTTCCTACGTCCCTTTCCCCCATTCAGTTTTTAAGCATCTTTACTCCTTCCCCTTTGTTTGTTTTCATAGTTGGTTTTTTAATATTTTTTTTCGCCCCCTAAATTTTGTAACATCTTTGCTGTCATCTAGCTAGGGGCTTCTCTCCATTTGAAATCAGGTTAAGCTAAAGCTATGATGTTAGAGCTAAACTGGAGCATCTCTGGACAGGGATGCTAACACATGCGTAAGCGTGGTGTACAATTTCTTACTTGAACACGACAAGATAAAGGAACCTGGGGTACCGGAGGTTCCTTCTAGGCTTTCTAAAAGCCAAGTATAATGTCCATGGCAATCTTTAATATTGATGGGTATGAGGTCACTTCTGTTAGTTCAGTTCACTCCTCTGTTACAATCCCCTCGCAGACCAACCTGGCTTTGAAATAAGAAAAGCAGAATAGTCCTTTGTATTCCCTCGACCCGACTCCAGCTTGCGTTTTTAAATTCGTGTTTTTCATTGCAACCGTATACCTTAAGCTCTTCAAAGAAAAACTAATTACACTCTATGGGACAATACAATAACTACTTAATTGCTTGGAAAAAAAAGTCATGCTACAGTTTTGCATTCTCTCAAGGAAAGACAATTAGACTTAATAGGGAAACCAGAAGGAAAGGACCATTGTACCGTATTTGCCATTTGCAGGGCTGGGTCCATCAAGCCAAGGATTTCTTCATTATAACTTGACTCCAGACTAATTATGTCATCAATCACATCATCCATCTGCAGCAGAAAAGGTGGACAAAGAAAAACAAAATAGTTATTGAAACCACTAGAATACAGAAGCCTGACAAAGCATTTCAGCCACACACGGCCTCTCTGGAGCACGGTCCCAAGCAGAGGTGCCTGTGCAGTTCCAAATCCACCCCCTGGGCCATGACTCCCACTAGTTAGCCAGGACAGTCGGGTCATGACAAAGCTGAGACTTCGTGGTCTAACCCACTCCTCTCACCGGCAGTTACCCTGCACCACCTGCCCACGGACACACTGTTCCTCCCAGGAACAGCGGAGCAGACAGCTCCCCATAGAACCAGCTACGCTAAGGATGTGAATGTCTCTCCCCTGTGCAGTGCTGCCCGCCTACCCGCTAGCTCATTCCTCTACTTTTGGGATCAAAACCTGTGTACAGACAGTGATGCCCGAGCCCCTGACACCTGTAGGGGAAGAAGGAACAAAGGCTTGCTGCCGGGTGAGAAGCTGCCTGCCCTCAACAACAGAATCCGCGGGATTCACATCCCTTATACACCCTCCCAGGAAGCACCACCCAAGAGCAGCTCAGAGATGACTTCAGGCGGTGTAAGCCATCTTCTTCCTGGGGCTGGAACGTGCCTCCGTAAGCTCCTGCATGGTCTGGAGAAACAGAGCCCTCCAAAGCACCCACGCAGGAGTTCCAGACCATCCTATAGGATTGACTATTTCCTTTTTGCTCACTATAAAAAAGGAGCTTAAATGACAGTCTACAAAAAAATCAATGCATAAAATTGATGGCAGAAATAGTAATATATGAGATTTTTGTATCAGATCAAGGAAGCGTGATCAAAACGAATCACGTTGACTGGAAGTGAGGGCATGAAAGGAGCCAGCAGTTACAGACCATATCTGAAGTCTTGCTACTAGAAATGAAAACCCCTTTGCTAAAAAAATAAAAATAAAATAGTAATTAAAAAAAGTACGACTACTGAGGACAAATTACCACAGATGGATTAAAGCCTTATATCATTTTTTTAAATGCAAATCTGATCTGCATAGTAATGGGGTCTTAGAAACTATCAGGACAAGAATACATACATACAGTCTTGGGAAAACTGCATTAGAAAAGATTTCCTGAAGTTAGACCTTAAAGCACGGTTGATATATTCTTCTGCTACAGCGTTACAGTGCTAGAAAAGCACTAGCGCTCTTAATGCATTTTTGACACCAATGCTAATAAACAATGTTGTTGTTTTGTTCCTTAAATACATCTTACATTCAACTTCTTAAAGAGACTACAAGGCAAGTTTATTCTTCAACATAACTTCAAAGAAACATGCTCATTAGAAAAGGGACCTGTGCTCCAACTCCTGTGTCATCCAGTACCTGCATGCATGACGCTCGTGAGTGTGTATTCAGAGCCGGGCACTCACTCTCAACCCTGCTTTGCTCTTCAAATTTATAAAATCCCTGCAGAAATAAAAAGGAAAAAAAAAAAAGAAGGAAAAAAAAAAAAAGAAAAAGCAAAGCATGGATCTGAGTTCATGGCACAGTCTCAGTCCCAAAAAGAGCATGATTGAAACAGTGTCATGCACACATGTGCCCGATGACACAGCAAAGTGAAGCTGTAAATATGTTGAGGAAAAAAAAATATTTGGGTACAACTAGGACGATAACACAGAACTATTTGCTTTTCATTTGTTTTGAAGCTATGGAGCACAAGTAACATCTCTTGCATGTACAAAATACATTCTGTAATAACTGTTTCCCAAAGTTTCATAACGTTTTCCTCACAGAGTGCATCTGTTTTAAAAATCTGGCACAAAGGCTCGAGGGAGGAGGATGGGGGGACCCAAGGAGCTCTACAATTGTCTCCCATTTGTCATGTTACAAAAACATTGACACGATTCTTACACTTGTTGACATCTTTCAAATCATCTTCCTTCAGCACCTGAGCACACATGGAACATCCAACTAAGTTTTTGCCAGCAAAGATTAAGACAAGGCTCCGAAGGACTTCTAAGCACAGGCTGGTGAAGACTTATATTTGAAGCACTGAGCTCATCATAAAACACCAGTCAGTGACATTTTAGAGGATATTAGCTGGGATAATCTGGCCTTCCAGCTAAGCAAGAGACTTGCTCAAATTTTACTGGAAAAATACCTAAAATATCTCACAAAGCTTAGTGTTTTTCAGTTATTTCTGCTATGCTCTTTGCTCTTTCTAAACTGAATGAGCCATAAATAACATTATTCCAGAAAGCTACAGCTTACAAAACTGCTTTGTGTTCTCCAAAGGTCAATTATTCACTGCGTGCATCAAGCAAGGGGAAAAGAAAAAAAAATAGTTTTAATAAGCATGAACTAGATAAACAGTTCACAAAAGAGGAAGTTAGAGGGATACAGGTTTTTTTTCACCAAAATGTTCTATGCAAATATATGTTCATCAGGCAGACACAGAGATAGCAGTTGCGTTTTCAAAGTGAACAGTTCAGAAAAAGAAGATAAACATCTTAACAATGAGCAAATACGGTTTAAAGCAGAAAGGCAGGCAGATTGCAATTGCATTTTACTGAAGAAGATGCACAGTGAGAGCGTATTACCTCTTTTTCACAGTTGGAGTTTAGGGTAAGCATAGCCATCGGACTGTTGGGTGCGCTGCTTCCAGTTCCAGGCGGCATGACATGATCCCCGGGCTGGTTCGGGCATGGCAAGCTCAGGGCTTGGTTGGCATGTTTATTTGCTAGAGTGGTAGAGAGGTACTGCTTTACCTGCTGCCGCTGGGCTTGCTGAATATGGTACTTGGTTGGATTCTCAAGGTGAGTCTGCACCTGTATGACACAATTTAAAGAGTGCTTTATTGGTTTACAACATCATTGATACGTGCTATCAATTTGAGCTATGCATTTGCAACATATATACCAGCTAAGCATTTGACCTAAAGTACAAACCTGTTCGCATGTGGTGGCAAGAAATCAGATTATGAGCTAGTGTTTCTATAACAAACGTATTAACAGTAAACCAAGAATTTCCACTTATTTTTCTACAACATGAGATTTCTCACTTAAGACCAATGCTCAGGTTTTCTTGTTTAAGACATACTCCCAAACAGACGGTTCTGCGTTCAGACCTTCAGCTATGCGACATTGAGTTTTCACTAAAATATGGAAAAACAAGTTGCACTGTAGGTCTTGTTTTACTTGTTAGTAGCTACTAATTAAAACCAAGTAGTATAGATTACTATCGTTTATCAGATGTGAAGTAACAGAGAGCAGAGATATCAAAATTTTGTTGGTTTTTTTAGGGTTTTTTTGTTTGCTTGTTTGGTTTATTTTTTTAAAAATAACACATTGGTTAAAAAAAGGAATACTTTTTTTTGCCTATAAATTATTTGTATCTCATATATATGGCCTAAATCATATACAAATAAGACAGCCTGTTTATAAACATGTTATGCAAATAAGATGCAAGAAAAGAAGTGTTTCAGTTCAGATCAATCACTGTCCTCGGCAACAGTTATTTTTGTATTTAAGATAAGCTTTTCAGTACTGAGCATTTTTTTTATATACAACATATGAAAAACCTCATACTGAACTACTCTTGTGCTCCCTAAATAAGCAAAAGAAGAAACACAATTTTTTCTGTGCAAAATTTTCACCATATCCTGGAAACTCTTCGTCACCTTTCTTTGATCATTAATGTTTTTACCGGACAGTAGAAAACAAACCAAAATATAGTAATACTCTGAGAAGTTTTTTTTGGTTTGTAACAGCAAAAGTCATTTTCATGGAACTGTTTAAAGTGACCATGTATGTCCCCCATTCGTTTTTGTGGAAGAAATTAAATAAGACGTAGTAGATACCAGAGGAACAGGATTTCCTGTATACCGTAAGCCTTCTTAGCAACAGGTTTTAAAATAAGGCTGCAGTAACAACTCACCTGATAATGATTATACTCAAGCATTTCCAGCATACTACTTATAGGTTGCGAGAGAAGCGACTGCAATATCCTTTGCGCTACGCTACTCCAGTCTGATGGTTTCGCGTATGGAAGCACCATAAACAAGCCACCCCAAAACAGCAGAAGAAACTTGAATGCCGCTGCTCAGACTTAAAGTAACCTACGCTAATTAGCCACGCATGTAGAGAAACAAACAGTTCACACAGGGGCTCTTCTTGGAAGCTGTGCAAGTTTAGCCTTAAGTATTGGTATTATTTTTTTTTCCCTGGCTTTGACGTCATACTTTTTCACAAACATAAAAGGACCTTTTAAGTGATGGGCTATCAAAGTCAGATTGACAGTTCGCTCAAGGCTAATTCGCTATTCATCTTTCGTTCCAGTCGTACTAATAGACAATGGTATTTTTCTTTAGCAGTAAGGTTAAAAGTTTTTAAGTAAGAAATAACTGAAGAAATGGCCTATGAGCCTAACACATATCCCCCAGCAGTGGGGTGCGCTGGATAAACCCACAGGGCTTTGCAGTCCCATCTTCAGCTTCCAGGCGCAGCAGTCCATCGTTCTGCCCACACAGCCACACCAAGGATTTGGAAAAAGCTCTACCACGTCCTCAGCCTCCCTGGTGCATTAGAGCCCATCAATTCCGTTCCAGCCTACAGCTGGAAGAGGCTTTCCAGTTCAGGAATGGCTGACAATGAGCTGAAGCATGTCCCAAATGCACTTACCTACACTTCTACACAGTCGCGGTACTTCCTACACCTTCCAGAACTTACTTTTTCCTTCTATCCAAGTCCTTGACAAAAGCTTGTACTCAAGCAGAGGCATCAAAAGCTGCTCAACTTGCATTATTTTCCAAAGCCTCTGCTGCACGGGGAAGCACGCTTAAGATAGTGTTTCTGGAGAGATTAATCTGATTTGTTGCACTAAATCGCAAGACAACACAATACAGCAGTCTGCTGTGATAAGTACAGCACTTGCTTTGTCAGTCCCAAACTGCGTTATCAATTTTCCTATCACCAGTGGTAAGAATTACACTACCCAGATAAGTCTATTTTTCACTTAAATTTTCATCTTCCGAGTAGATAACGTTATCAGTAAAGGAGTTATCTTTGTAACACTTATCTTTGAATGTGTTATTTTAAAAACAAGCCCTGCTCCTCTTGACAGAATTTGCACATTCCTTTTCCTCCACCGGCATAAGATACCACGGCGGTTCTCCCTCGACCCCGCCAGGGTGACGGGACAGAGCAAAGCCTCTCCTCTCTGCACCCATCTCCCACCCACCCTGCACCCTCCCAGGAGAGGGGCCAGCAAAATTCCAAGATCCACATCTCAACTGTGCATCATCAAACATTACATTACTTATAATATATACTAATACACTGAACTGACTCCACTACGTGTCAACTTCTGAAACACACACTGCCTAACTGACATGGGATTTTTGTTGGCAAAACAAATACTTACTTCACAACAACATACTTTCCCCAAGATTTTATTGTAATATCCTGCATTAGAATAATTTGTATTATTTTGCTGTGCTGCCTTTGGTACCCCACGGAAGAGAAAAATAGTCATGAACCTTAAACAAAGGAGCTGCGGTCTTTCTCAAACTTTTAAGTTGCAGATTTCTACTTAATACAGAAGTGTACCTATTCTCTGAGAATTTTAATCTTGCCGAGAAGTGCATCCTCTTTGGTACAAGGCAACAGATTTCAGCTGCAGATCAGAAACTACTGTCTGCTTTTTTCTTTCTTTCCTCTTTTTTTTTTTTTTTGGGGGGGGGGGGTTGTGTGGCGTGTGGGAATCTTTCTTCCTCTGCCCACCCTTACAGTGAGTGTAACAGCTGGATGACTAACATTACGAACATAACTAACTAGATCCCTAGCGTTACCGCATATTTGTTTGCGGCATAACTACAAAGGCAAATTATTATCTAGTCAGTTTAATTCCGAACACACCACAGTCACTTTGGCTCACAGAAAAAGGGATATCCTTCTGGAAGCAGGATCCCGAGTTATCCAGCAGACCACGTTTTCATGTAGAGTCAACTCTTGCTACACATGGGCAACAAGCGACTCTGAGGAAATTCACTTACTGCCAGGTGTTTGGCCTTCAAATCAGTGGCAGAGGAGAAGATGCTCTATATTCTTTGCAGAAAAAAACCTACCAGAAGAACCATAGTCATTATACACTAGGTATGCACAGTTCTCCAAGGATGTGTCACCTTCTCACACAAGTCCAGTACTGAACTGAAGAACACAGAGAACTGCCTTTTCTGTCACTAAATTGCTCCGAAATGATGCAAAGGAGAGATTCAGGGACCGAACATTTCCTTTTAACCCACAGGCAGTCAAACATACTTTCACATTTGAATACAAGAACAAAAAATTATTCTCCAAATGGAGGAGAACATGACACAACTATTCCCACTCTGCATGTCAGTGCAACAAGGACAGGAGCTTCCACATTTCTTTTGGGACAGATGGACCAGTTTCAACTACCCTGGCTCTGGCCAAGTGTGAGGCCCAATGGGCTACACAGAAGGCATCTGAGAAACTTCAGAGTTTGATACTTCGTTGGGTCCCTTACTGCCCTCTTCAGTTGCCTTATGAGGTCCACCATTGAAATCTGGTGGGGACTACCTTTATGAACTCAGTGCTTTTTGTTGAGACTAACCCTGCCTTTTGCCTAGAGCATCTTTTTCTGCAGTCTACATCAAAGAGACCCCAAATGTGTCTACTTGGGCAAATGTCCCAAGATGTATCAGTCACAGTCAGCCTGCAGATAAGCCATAAAGCAATCTTACTTTTTGACAAAATATCTCACAAGCGAAGAGCTACAAAACAAACCCTAAAATGAAATTCCACAACCCCAAATTTGAAACCATGAATAAAAGCTTTGACTTAATTGAGATCTAATTTTGGTCCTCGGCCCCTTCTTGCCTTTGGGGTGAAGAATAGTTGCTGCTGTTCTTCCAAATTCATGACACACAAAGTACAGGAAGATGACAATTTATTGGTTTGGATACACTCCCTAAGAAATGCGTCTGAATGGGGACATGCAAGAAAAACAACAACGTGAACTTGAATCCAAGTTCAAACTTGATTCAATGTTCAAACTGAATCCTCTGGATCTCCAACCATCTACTTGCAGAAATCTCAACCCAAACTTTGCTGTAACATTGCTAAACTGAGTAGAACATTGGTTTTGGACATTTTGGTATTGTTAAGCAAGAAGTAACGGAAAGTATCATCTTCAGAACTTTGGAAATTATTTAAGACGAGGCAGCAAACCCAGCAAAATTTATCCCACCATATTAACAGAAGAATCTAGCTACAAGGACCTACAGATTGAGGATGGCCAAGTGGCAGACTACAGCCTGGATTCAGCCCAGAAACACCTGGAAGAAGGCTTTCTATTTGTATCCGGGTGCATTTTCAATTTGCATGGTTACCAAGGTACTGCTTACATGGGTAGCAGAATAACACTGCCTTCGAAGTAGAGGCCCAGAAGTGGTTTCATGCTAGAACAGCCTCCAATTTCAGCTCAGCAGCATCTCCACTGATCTCCACGGGCTGGCTCCATGCGCTCCTGCACTATGAGTCTCATGGGTAAGCAATTCAAGCTTCATCCATTTTTGCCATGCTGACACTGAGCTAGTATGTTTTTTCTTGAGCTGAAGCACTGAGAAAAGCAGCATAGAGACATCAGCTTGGCTGCACCCATACATAAACCAGCTTTGGCCCTTCAAGGCTGAGCTGGGCTGGATAAATTCTGGATGGGGCCATGCCAATTACTCAGCACTTGTCCCCTCGATCTTTGGTGTATCCTGGAGAACAATGTTATCTCAAGCAGGGGAAAGGCTTTCTCA